TTCTTATCATATGACATAAGTGAACGACAGATACGCTCTATTTTGAAAATATGACTCCAACATTTTGAACAATACGCCCTTCCTTTACTGTGACTAAATTAGGCACACAAAGGAGTCCCTAGCATTAACTGATGCTAGTTCTTCCAGATATGTTACACAAGTCTGCCGTCTTTGGTCGTCGGCTAAGATTCAGTAAGTCATTCTGCCCTTACTCGATAGCAACAATCATTTTGTTAGAGTATTTGGACACAGTTAAATTATTAATTTCCTTTTTGTCAAGTTCTTTACCATTGAAACTAGTCTCACTCCCGCAATTCATCCAGCATGTGATTCAAAGCCTACTACATCAACTGCTAGTATTTAAAAAGAAAAAGGTGGTCTTTAAAATTTGCATTCGGTCAAAACTGATCACATTCTAAGTCCACTTATGAAACACTTCAAAGATCTTCCAGCTTAACTGAGTAAAGAATTTTCATTTTTTCTCGAGCGTGTTTTTTTCAGATTAATGGAAAACTTCTATTGTTATTACACTTTTTAAATCTGGTTCCCTCTCGGATATTCACAATTATTGTGGAGTTCATAAAACGACCTTTCCGGCTCAAATCTTTAAAAAACTACTGGGCAAAAAATTAGAACATTTTTTTCATTAGAATGGCAATTCTTAACTCATCACGACATGGATTTTTATCGCTTCGACCTTGTGAAACATGTCACGTTTCTTTTCAAAATCTACTTACTTCTCTTCGTACTGATCACTTGTCTGTAATTTTGATCTATTTTGGTCTTAGTAAAGCATTCGATACAGACATTTCAAGCGAAAACTGCTCTATCCGACATTTTCAAATACTCCCTATTCAAATAAATGCCAATTATCGAAGCTGGAAGCGGGCATATCTGTCCCCTTTTGCAATGATAATAGTTCAAATATCCTCACGCCTTCTGTAAGTAAATTTGTCAGTCGCCCTGTAAACGTAAGAAGTTCCGTATTTATTATACTTCCTCCTGCATCCTCCTCATCTAAACGCTGTTTGTTTTTTTCACTTCTAGATATAGTTTTCTTTGTAATAACTTAGCAGTAGAAGTTAACTCGTTTACTACTATACCTGCCCTCAAGCGAAATCTGCACATTGAGCTAAACTCTGGCTCTATTGAAGGTTTATTCTCCCCATATTTTCCTAGCAGCTTTCTCTATGATTCCGATAAATGACTAGTGCGGAATTTAGAAGATCCTCTTGAAACTATTCTTCTCTGACTCGCGTCCCTCGGGAACCTACATGTCTGCATAAGCCACCAGTCAGTCAAACGATGGAAGCCATATTGGCGTACTCTGTCTAAGCTACTCCTGTTTCGTTGGCTCCCTACCATATTCAGAATTTCCTTTTGATTCCTGAGATTTCGGGCCCTACGTTAACAAATTCGTCTTCGTCACATTTCATGTTACGCACATTTGCGACCAAGTACATTTCAGCATTACATTCTGTATGGCTGTTGTAATAATAGACCAATCTACTCCTATATCTCATTTACGAAAGCAGATTTTTTCTCTTACATACTTTTTTTGAAAATGGAGGCCCTTTCAACTCTGCCCCCATTTTCATTGTAGGAATACATGTAACAGCCTATTTTCTAGTTCATTATTAACTGCGAAACATCGCCAATTATTCACCTAAAAAGGACCATTTCTGCTGACATAATAACGCCTTTGTACATTTGGTCTGCGGACATCGTCGAACTTTGCTTTAAGAAACCATATTTGTTTATTTAGTGCCTTCAAGGCGCTTAGAAATATATATAACGAATTTCCAAATCACCCAACGCCATTCAGTTACCAAAATTTGATTACGACCGAGCACTGTAGTAAGCAAATTCTAAAAGAATCGTCTTTGTATGTGAGACAATACTGTAGTCGTCAAAGATCACACAACATGTTGACATAAGCGAAAGATTGATACTCTTTCGCAGATCAGCATTGACTCAGGTTGTGATACTGATTATCGTGTAGCCTATTCTGAAGTCATTTCCGTCCGGATGGAATGTGGACTTTTCAAAGAGTATCGCTATGACCAGCAGCAAAACGTACCTATTGTAAAAACTGGCTATTTCAGTTGTATGCCATTTTATCGCTTACTTTGACTGGCTTTATAAATTCAAATATATTTATGGAAAACATGCACGAAAAATTATATTTTGTACTTGTTAAATAGCGAATTGCCTCTTCTTTAAATGTTATACTCGAAGAAAGGATAGGTTTCGGTTTTACAAAAGTTGCTAACTATGAGCTTTTTTACAATTGTGAGGCGTTTATTCGTAATACATCGTATCTGTCAAGTAATTAATGCGGTCTATACGGTATAAAATGTGCTCTACATCTATATCAATATTTATTGAGAATTATGCGACTTCTTCCTCAAACTGTAGGCGAAAACGTACTTTTCCTCAAACAGGATGTACGCAGTGCGCAGTTTTTAAACCTCGAAATCGAGTGTTACAGTCACTAGGGTAGACAAGTATTCGGCAATTAAGCACCGTTTTTAAAACCGACAGCTACCACTTTATTGAGTATAAAAGTCAAAGAAGGCTTAATTTGATATCATAGTGTAGAAGAGATAATTATTTCGTGCATGTTTCCCATAAAATATATTTGAATTTATAAAGGTGGTCAAAATAAATGATAAAAATGCATACTATTTAAGTAGATAATTCCTACAGTATACAGGTTTTTCTAGTGTTCAGAACGAAGCTCGTTGAAAAGCCCACATCCTATCATGACTGAAATGACTTCAGAATAGACTTCCCTATTATCAGTATTACAGCCTGAGTCAAGACCGCTTAGCGAAAGAGTATCAATCTTTCGCATATGTCGACATGTTGCGTGAAACTTGGCGACTACTGTACGTAGGTCAAATTGGTCCTCTTTCAAAACGGTCATAAAATCGTGCGCTAATGACCTCATTATTGTTATTCGATTACAAAAGCGAGCATGGCAATCGATGCACTTTTAAGAAATTTACATGTGAATGTAAATGCCGTCAAAAAGACACCAAAGAAATGCAATGCCACGAAAATATGTCTTGGGAGACCAACAATTTGAAACCGTATGTGTCAAAAGAGACCATTTCGTACTTATTAAAGATGGCCTAACTGTCTTAACTCAATGCTCAAGGGTGGCAGTGAGAGCAAGGTTGACTATAAGAGCAATACGAAGCAAATCTGTTAACCGGAATTCAGATAACTTTGGGAAAGTATATGGAGCATTTGTGCGGCGGCATCTGAAATATGTGGTACACGCGTGGCGGCCTTGGCTACGGAAAGACATAGGAATTCTTGAAGGTGCCAGCAAAAGGATACAAGGGCAATCACCGAACGTAAACAGTTGACAAACGAGCAGCGACTTAAATCGTGAAATCTATATTCTCTTAACTATAGATAAGACAGAGTTGAACTTATAGCGACGTTTTAGCTAAGAAGATAAACCACTCTAGATATCAAGTGACAATTTGTGTACGTATGTGTGCGAATATGTATATGACGCCCCGGCATTTAATCAATCCGCTTTTACACGACATTGCGTACTACTCTCATCAGATAAACTGAAAACTTAACTGAGAGTGGAAGTAGTGGCCCCAATTTAGAATGTCAGTAGATATCATTGTCAGTTCAGGAAAGAACTGAGCCACAAAAATCAACCTTCACCGTTCTTCTCTCAAAGAGTCGTTCGATGGTGCAACGATTTGTCAGTATATTTTTGGCGTTCCTCCAAACATTCAGAGTCTTGTTTAACAGATGAGGTATATAACTACACACATAATACGTCAGTGAGTTCAAAGTAGGCTCAGGTGAATATTAAACAGTGGAAATGCACACTCGACTCAGTGCAGATAAATATACAATATAAAAATTCCCGGGTGAATGGAGCAAAATTAAAAATTGCAGCTGATAGTAAAATTTAGCCGATCAATCATATGTTCGCCAAAAGTAGGTGGGTTTCGGAATAGCTAAGGCTAGTTCCTCCCTAATTAACAGGTTAGGTTAACCTGCTATAGGATGTCCAGTTTAATGCGCACCGAATGGCTTTCGGGAATTCTTTAAAGCTTAACCAAATATTGTCATCCCTCTAGGTGCCTTCAGGATAAGCTCATCGATGATTGGCAGTTAAACTGTTCAGGGTGACTGTGGGAAAAAACCGTGCTTTCAAACAAACTCTAATAGATGTGTTGTCGTAAATAAATCCCCTCCCCCCTACCCAACACCATATTGTCTTTAGGAAAAGGAGTAAAAATCCAGCTCAGAGCAGCCATGCCCCGATCGTCCTTCCTCACGCTCTCGTTGTCAGGATCAGGCCATCGTCAATTACGAAATCTAGGCTGAGCTGCTTCCTCGTCTCTGTGGATCGGCTGTGCCCATAAACATTCGCAATGTGGTGGCACCATGTGTGATGAGATTGTGGGATATTACCCATCCTTCAAAACAAACCCTACACGAGGTTTTGTTGGAACTAAATACACAACCCACTCCCCCCACCCACCATCCTATTGCTTCTAGTAAGAGGAACAATAATCTAGTTCTGCGTACTTGGCCCCTCATCCTGCCCCACGCTCCCCGTGTTGGATTCAGACTCACGTGTTTGGTGTGCAACAGAAAAGGTGGAGGACTCTGTTAGCGCCTGCTCGTCTCGACCGCTCAGCAGCTTGTTTAGCATAGACGCTCCACCATGATCTCAGACAGAAACCTGACAGCTACCCGAGCCACCATCATTAACAAACTGATGAAGTGGTTTTCCAAGGCAGGCACGGTGTATTTCCTACCATCCACGTTTTCCTTTTTAGACACCCATATATTGTTTTCGCTATAGGGGCACAGATAGATCGGACTGGTGCTCACTAATGTATAACTGCATATGAAATATCTGACGAAGGTAGTAACGAGAGTGTTAGGACAAATTATTTGAAGAAATATAAACGAGTATTCAATTAAATATTTTTTACGGATCGTTTTGCATAGAAATTAAGAATTCTGTACATTGTAGGAATTTTCCTAAGTAGATTAAGTATGACTCGCAATAGGCACACAGAAATGCCAAATCAGAGTTCACCAAACAGGTTACGAGGCAGTGGCGCCATGTTACGCATTGAAGATAAAGCAGGAATCCCTACAGGCGGTCGCAGAACGACAAGTACAGTAGTCGCCAAAGACCATGCGACATTGATGATGAAATTTGACTTGGTACTTTAGCGTATATTTAGTAATACTATTTTGAATCATTCAGTGTTTTGAATTCTGCAAAAGCCTTTTAGTTAGGTCAATCGTCATTTATTGAGGTTTATTAAGAGAAATGGCCATTAATTTTGGGGAA